CTGCCTTAAAAATGTACAAATTGCAGCCTACTTTAAAGCAATGCAGGACCAGCTCAGAGGAGGGAGGAGGAGGGGAGTGGCGTTGGCGGCGCGGGGGAGGAAGGAGAGTTGGGCCAATCCACCAGGTTTTGCCTTCGCCAGGAGGATTCTTCATACTTTCATATTCATACACCATTCTCTGATATGCACACTCTCTTCATTTTCAAAATTGTGGAAAAGCCACATCCTTGCATTCAAAGCATTCTGCCTCCCCTTTCCCACCTGTTTAAGAGATGGCTTTTAAAAGCACATGTCCATTAAAAACCAGTTTCAGAATACTCCACTCTTCAGGCCCAGGTGGGCAGGGGCCATTTGTTCAGTATGGTACCTGTATGTGAGCATCATTGCGTTCATGTGTGCAGGGGAGGCTTGCAACCTGAGTGAGATCCTTCCACATGCAGCTTAGTGGGAAACAGGTGATTCTTGGGAAGAGCACACTCCAGAACAGTGGAGCTTTGCAGCCATACCTGCCTTCCCCCGGTATTTGGCTTATCAAGGCAGAAACGCAGCAGGGTGCATAAAATGAGGTAAATGAGAGTCAGAAGGGACCTCCTGGGCCATCTAGTCTGACCCCCGGCTCTAGCCGGCTCTGCTCACGACATGCCCACCATGTGCATGTCTAGCCTATCTTTGAACACCCTCACTGATGGGGCCTCAATGACCTCTTGTGGAAGCCCATTCCACACGCTCGGGGTCCTAATGGTCAGAAAGTGCTTCCTGGCATCTAAATGGAACCTTGGTTCCTTGAGCCTTGCTCTGTTGGAGCACGTCCTGCCTTCCTCTGCAGAGGAGAACAGCTCTCTACCCATCTCCGTGTGACATCCCCTCACATACCTGTATGTTGCCAACATATCCCCTCCAAGTCTCCTCTTCTCCAGGCTGAAGAGACGCAGTTCCCTCAGTCTCGCCTCATGCCCCATCCCCTGCAAACTGGCCACCAACCTTGTGGCCCTACGCTGCACTGACTCTAACCTGGCTATATCCTTCCTGTAATGAGGGGCCCAGAACTGAACACAATACTCCAGTTGGGGATGCACTAGAGTTGTATAGAGTGGTACTAATACCTTTCTTGATCTAGAAGCCACACTTCTGGCTATGCAACCAAGGGTGACGTTCGCCCTCTTGATCACACTGCTGACTCATGTTTAGCCTGCAGTCAACCAGCACCCCAAGGTCCCTTTCACAGGCTCTGCTCTCCAGCCACTTGTCCCCAAACCTGTACTTATGACACCCATTCCTGTGCCCCAAGTGCAAGACCTTGCACTTATCAACACTGAACACCATCCTGTTGTCTCCTGCCCACTTCCATAGTCTGTCCAGATCCTTTTGCATCTGGAGTACCTGCTCCTCAGTTGTGGCCAGTGCCCCAGTTTTAATATCATCTGCGAATTTGATCAGCAGACTGTTCACCCCTTCTTATTTATTTATATTGTGATTTATATCCTGCCTTTTTCCTACAAAGGGCTCAAGGCAGCTTATATCATTCTCCTCCTCCATCTTATCCCCACAACAACAACCCTGTGAGGTAGGTTGGACTGAGAGTCTGTGACTGGCCCAAAGTTGGCTCCATGGCTGAGCGGGGACTAGAACCCAGATCCTCTGAGTCCCAGTCCCATGCTCTTAACCACTGCACCACACTGGCTCTCCATGTCCTTGATGAAAAGATTAAACAGGATCGGTCCGAGGACAGAGCCCTGGGGGACCCCGCCTGTCACTGGGTGCCATCCTGATGATTCCCCACTAATGGTTACCCTCTGCCTTTGGTCAGTCAACCATGCCCTAATCCATGGGTCCTCAAACTACAGCCCGCGGGCTGGATCCAGCCTGCAATGCCCATTTATCCAGCCTGCCTCAGAGATTTTGGACTCACTGCGCATGCGTATCCGCACCCGCCGCCATCGCCCGCCTCACACAGCGCGTGGGGAGGCAGTGGCTTGCTCGCATGGAGATCATTTCCAAGCAAGCAAGCAAGCTGCCTGGGTGCCTGATCTCCAAGAAAGCAAGCTGCCCACACGCCCCGCCTCGATTGGTGTCAGAAGGAGGAGGCCATGCTGGTCTCCTCTTCCTGTGGGTGACATGTCTCCATACCTCCCTGGCTGCTCCTCCCGTGGCCTCTCCCTCAACCCTCTGTCTGGAGGGGGACTGCTACCGGGGGGCCTGGAGAGCTCTCTCGGCCCTCAGGCACCTCAACTCCTCCTCTAGCAGGACCACCAGCTTGCACCAAGGGCAAGTGCAACCCCGACTCTCCTGGGGGAGAAGGGTGAACATGTTGCAGCTGTCACAGTGGACAGCACACCCGTGACTACCACCAAGGCCCTCTCCTGGTCTGCCATTGGGAATCCTTCAGAGACCCCACCTTCTTCCCCCGACTTGTCTGTCCTGCACTACTCCTCACTCGCCCAGTTCTCCCAGACAAAAACCCACACACAAGGATGAAATAAAAAAATAAATGGGGAGGGAGACCTGCCCCCAGGGATGGGAGTCCCTGGGCAGCCTGGGCTGCAGGTAAGGGACGCAGACAAGCGATGACACCTTATAAGCCTCTCAGGCCGGTGGCCCCGCCCCTCTGCTTCCTCCTGGTCCCTCTAGCCTCTCTGGTCCCGCCTCCCTTCCTC